CTGATTCTTTTATTAGTTCACAATGGCTACTTTTGGATGGAAAGACCTTGTGCTTCTGGTTTTTTTCCCCTGTTCCAGGCTACATGACCTTCTGCATTCCAGGATTGGGGAGGAGGGTGTGTGTGTTGTGTGGAACTTGTGCAGATGAGTGTGTCTCGTTTGTTCCAATTACACTAGGCAGTAGGTGCTGTGCATCCATTGCCAACCTTGAATAAGCACTACGAAGATTTCCCCTCCTGATGGAAAAACATGTTTGCTTGACTCCTACATGTAGCGCTGGATTGAATACAATGCTCCATCACATGCACACAACACACTGAAATTGCTTGCTGGGAAGAATGTTGTCAGGACTGCATGAGATAATCTAATACAGTTTCCCTAGCTAGTTCCCTCCAGATGTGTTGAGAATACAACTCCCCAAATTCCAGGTCTTTGGCTGCTTCAATCCTTCCAACTCTAGACTTACTTCTGATGTGTTACGGCTGGCCCTTCTGGCTGTTGTTTGTTACAATGCATTCTGAACCCAAACAATGTCCTGCTCTTCCAAGGCTGAGGAAGCTATTTTCTGTTAAGGGCTACATTCCTTTGGGCTTGGTGGTGGTAGAGACTGAACACCATCAGAGCATGGGGTTGAATCTGCAGCAGACAGGTCAGACTCCACAGAAGATGGACCCAACCATTTTTACTGCCTTTCTGCCATATTTTTTCTCCCTATCTCTCTGCCCCCAACACACCACCCACTGTCTTCCCACCCTTAGGCTGCCAAGGAGGAAGACCGGTCAGTCTTGGCCAAAGTTTGGAATGATCCCTTATTGAGAGACGTAGATTGCCTACCTTGTTCTTTGCCTCTTCCCGATGTGCTGTGAGCCACACAAGGAATTCCTAAGTAAATATGGGCCTGTTGTTCTAGGCAGGGACGAAATTAAGAAGATGCAAGCTCCAGATTCAAAATGCCACTTTTTTATGCCTTCCCCCCTGCTCCCAACTCCTGCATTTTATAGCAGCCTCATAGGCAACGCTAAGCGAGGGATGGTTTTCTTGGCACTGACTTAAAAGCTGGGTTTTGACTTGGCATGTTTTCTGAACCATGCCTGCCGTGGTCAGTAATCTCAGTTTATAGCTTAGCATATTGCACATATTGTGCAAATCTAGCCAGCTGTGATTTCTGTCCGCAAATGTAACCAACTCATGGATATTAGCTCTCCGTGCAGCCTGTGAGTGAAAGGGGTGGAATGGCAAGAAAAGGTGGTGGGGACAGCCAACTCTTCCCCCACCAGATGCCCAAGCCCACATAGCTGAACTGGGTGACTCGAGAACTGACAGGGCTCCTGTTGCTGGCGCCTGGGAGCCAGCCTGAAAAAGAGCTGACACACTTGGGGAAGTGGGGGGTGCAGTGATGTAGGAGAAATCCAGCTTCACCACACAGCTCACCCAACAATTACCAACTTCAAGAACACGGCCACACAGCCCGGAAGACCCACACCAGCCAATAACCAAGTCCCTTTTTCAGACTACTTTTAAATATGGGCCTATCACTGTTCTGGAAGAGGGTAAACCCACATCTAAAAGTATCTCCAAAAAGAGCCAACGTGTTGTTGGCATGGTGGCAACGAGATGAAGTAGAAAACCGTCTCCTACGCTGCACCCCGTGACTACCCCCTCTGCAGCCCTCTGTTTTTAGGCACATGTTTAGCCCTCTTTTGAACAGGGCTAAAGCCAGAGGTAAAAATAGCCCCAAGCACCTGAAAGGTGCAGCAGGGATGATGCAGGGAGGCTGGATCTCTCCTGCTTCTCCATCCCGCCTGCTGCTCCTCAGGCTGGCTGAGGGGCACAGCCGCCCCGCTTCTCCTGCCGCCCTTCCCAGCCCTGGCAGCCTGCTCAGAGAGGAAGCAGGAGAAGCTGCAGGGGAATGGGATGGAGGCTTCCCAGTCAAGCAGCAGAGACTCCTGGCTTCCCAGGACAGGCCTCTCCCTCCCTCCAGGATCCATGGGCTGCGGGAAGGGGAAGGACGGGTTCCCAACAAAACACCGTATGTGCAGATAAGCCAAGAGTCTTAGGTGCCCTCATGCACCCACAACGTCGCCTTCGGCTTATCCGAGGGTGGGCTTATCCGTGAGTATATACGGTAATACGTTTTTAAAGCACCCGTATTTCCCGTATATATTCGCGTATAAGATCATCCGCGGATAAGCCGACCCTCGAATTTTTAACCAAAATACCGTAAAAAATGAGGCTCGGCTTATCCGCGGGTGGGGCATTCTTTCCCGGTTTGCGGGAAGCCCCCACCGCACTACGGATCAGGGTTTGACATCTGCCAAAACTCGGTCCAGCCCCAG